CACCTTGACCAAAGCCACTTAAAAAACAAAAACAAAACAACTCCTATTTAATTGGGGGCTTGCTTATAGTTTCAGAGAGTGAGTCTGTTTTCTTTCTTTATCAACATCTACTGGTAGATTTTTGTCTGGTTTATCTGTCTGGTTTGTCTGGTTTATTCTCATTGTCACTTGGCTTGGTCTGCTTTGGTGTGTGTTGTTAGATGATATAAATGTTTATAGTGAGAGAGAAGAGTCAGAGCTCTGAGATTGAGAAATTACCATTTTGCCTTGCCTTAGGCACTAAGATATTTCGTTGCTTTATTTAACAGTAGCATGGAAAAAAGAAAAGAAGAAAAAAAAGTAGCATGACTAACAATAGGAAGGTAGAAGTTATGATAAAACATTAAGCTAGTCAAAGACATGAAATATTTTTCATAGAAAACTGACATTTTTTAAATTTTTAAATTTTTAATTTTTTAGACAGGGTTTCTCTGTATAGCCCTGGCTGTCCTGAACTTGCTGTGTCAACCAGGCTGGCCACTACCTGCCTCTGCCTCCTGAGTGCTAGGACTAAAGGTGTGCACTGCCACGCCCAGTTTGACTATCATATTTCTGACTTGAGATTATTTGATAGGCGGGCATTCAGAAGGCAGGAGTCAAGGCTAGCCTCAGCCACAGAATGAGTTTGAGGTCATCCTAGACTTTGTGAGGCCTTGTCTTAAAAAAATCAGAACCAAAAAGAAAAAAAAAAAAAAACAAACTTATCTTATAAACGTATTTGATTTGAGATTGAAGCAAAAATGTCACAGAGTATTTCTAAATATTTAAATTTAGGGCTTTAGATGTGTTCATTGAGTACATGTGTCTTAGTTTATATAACTGTTTAACCATTCACTACTGGATATTTCACATGCCTAAAACTTGAATGCCTCAAGTTTGTTTTCTTTCCTTTCTAAGATTTACTTTTATTTTATGTGTATGAATGTTTTGCTGGTTTCTATGTAGAATGTGGTGGTTTGAATAAGCATGGCCCCCATAGACCCGTGTGTTTGAACGCTTGGCTCATAGGGAGTGAAACTATTAAGGTATGCTCTTGTTGGAGGATGTATGCCACTGTGGGGCCAGGCTTTGAGGTCTGCTATGTTCAGGCTCCTCCCACTATGGAATTAGAGTCCCCTTCTGCTGCCCATGGATCAAGATGTGGAACTCTTAGCTCCTCCAGCATCAAGTCTGCCTGCATCTTGCCGTGCTTCCTGCCATGATGATAATGGATTAAACCTCAACCTGTAAACCAGCCTGAATCAAGTATTTTCCCTTATAAGAGTTACCTCCGTCACAGTGTCTCTTCACACCCTAACTAAGACATAGACACATTATGTTCATGCGATGCCAAAGAGGCCAGAAAGGAGTGTTGGATCTCTTAGAACTTACTGAAGATTGCTGGGATCTACCGTTTGGGTACTGAGAACAGAAGTCAGGTCTTCTGGAAGAGCAGTAAGTGCAGTGTGTGTGTGTCTGTCTATATTCGAGTATGTCACATGTGTGAAATGGTGGCATATGATGAACAGTGGTGGCACTTGCCTTTAATCCCAGCACTCTCAGTGACAGGTGGATCTCTGAGGTTCAAGGCCAGTGTGTTCTACAGAGAGAGAAACTCTGTCTCAAAAAAGAAACAAACATAAAAAGCTTATCATGGTGGTACATGCCTGTGATTCTAGGACTCATGGAGACAGGGCAGGTGGATCTCTGTGAGTTTGAGGCCAGCCTGGTCTACAAAGCAAGTCCAGGACAGCCAGGGCTACACAGAGAAGCCCTGCCTTGAAAAACAAAACAAATAAGTAAATAAATAAAATAAAATAAATAAATAAGTGAATGAGTAAATACATAAAAATTAAAAAGATTTGCTTTTGTGAGAGGGATGAACTATAATGGAATTAAGTGGAAGTATCACAAACAAATAGGTTTGCAGTAGACTTTATATGGTTGCAGAAACAGTGGCTGGTTTAATGTAGACTAAATGAAGGAAGGGGGAGCAGAAATGTACTGATATTGGGCATATGGTATGACAAAAGACTGAATGAAGTCAAGGGTGACTCAGGGTTTTGGCCTAAGCCACTTGACTGAATATCATTCACACTGGCCTGCCTGTTTGGTCCATGGGGACAGTGGACAGTGGTTGCTTCATGGTGGTTATTTTGAAAGGCAGAGATTAAGTAGGCTGTTTCTACATCGTAGAAAAATGATTCGGGCCTAACCTGGGCAAAGACTGACAGAATGGAGAGGTATTCAGAGAACGGACTAGAGAGACATTTAGAAAATGAAAAACGCTGGTGACCTGTGGGATTTGGTTAATTTATTAAACCTGGAGATAGCTGAATTTTTTTTTTTTAAACAAGTAACCATTTATTGGTATGCTTTGATGGCAGGGGTTGCCTGAGGCCTACTTTTGTATAGACCTAGTGCTAAACTTAGAAATTTTTTTACGCATTGAAGGATTATAAAAAGAGGGGAGATGAAGATAGTAGCTGATCCTTTAGTGACATTTGGCAGCCTCTGCCTTAGGAGTGGTAAAATGGTTTTCTAGAGCAGCAGTAACAACCCCCTGGTTGTTAGCATAATGTTCTTGTGGACAGTGTTCAGTTACCCTTGTTCATTCAAATGCTGATTCTCTACCCCACTATCTGCTTTCAATCCAGATGTAGCATTGTGATGCTTATTCTAAGCATCTCCTGTCTCAAGTTTGTGTAAACATGCCAACCAACCATTTGTCCTCTGTTGTGCCAATAAAATGCCAACCAGCTACTGCTGGTGAGAATAGGGTGGAATATCCTGGTCCATTGAGGGGAGGAGAAAGGAGAAGTGCAGGATATATTCAGGAAGAGAGGGCAGGGAAACATCAGGAGAAATGAACTGGACCCAGGATATGATTAAAAAGCAAGTATAATGTGGGAAATCTGAATGGGAACTTGGATATTTAGGATGGAGTAATTATTGCACAGCATTGTGCTTTAGGCTAATTAACTAAATCCTAGTCTCTCTGTGTGGTTATTTGGATATATAGCTGGTTAGATAATGCTGCCATAATAAATTTAGGGCTAATAAGAAACATTATTAGCACACACTTTTAAACTTACCACAATATCTAGTACTTTTGGGAAGTGCACATTCTCAGGCCTCAGCACACACTTGCAGAGTCAGAAACTCTGGAGGAGTTTTAATAAGCCCAGATTTGATTCTGATGCACAGCAAGGCCTGAGACCCTCTCTCAATAGACTTCCATCCTTATCTCAGGTTACAGGATAAAGAATACTTATAAAAACACTGCATGGAGCCCAGCATGGTATTACACACTTTCAATCCCAGTACCTGGGAGACAGAGGCAGGCCTATCCCTGAGTTTGAGGCCAGCCTGGTCTATGTAGGGAGTTCAGTGCTACACAGGGAAACTTGTCTCCAAACATCAAAAACAAAACTAAAGCAAACCTAAAGCACTGGATATGGACTGGAAACAAATGAAACTTTTAGCAGTCAATAATAGCATTAATAGTTTACAATTAAGGTTGTGGGCTGTGGCTTCAGACTGCTTATGCTGAAATGAGTAATTCCTGTTTGTTCATTTATTATTTAGATAGTCTCCTTATGTAGCCTTGCTGGTCTGGAACCTGATTGTAGACCAGGTTCGTCTGGAACTTGTGAGCCTCCTTCCTCTGCTTTCCAGGTGCTGGGATTAAAGGTGTGTACCTCATTGCCTAACTGGGTAATAGGTGTGTCCTTGGGTAAATAGACCTCTTAAACCTTATTCATCTGTAAAGTGTGCGCTGAAATAGGTTTTTTTTTTTTTTTTTTTGTGAGACATAAGTGATTTTATAAAACATCAGAGGAGTATCTGGTCTATTAATAATGTACTTAAAAGGTTGTCTCCATAAGTAATGCATTAAGGAAAATCATCTCAGATTCATTTAATGGTCTCCCCAGATATTTTGCATATGAAAATCAGTAAGCAATCCAAAGTAAAGCCAATGTAGATTTTGGAGGCGCTAATATCAGCCTTGCCTTTTGTGAACCTTTTTTATTTTTAGGAAATGCATTGAAATGGCCATTATAGGACTATGAGGGAAAACTGATGATGTATTCATGCCTGCATCATGCATGATTCAGATGTGTTCTATTCTCCTCCAATTGCCCTTCTGTTCCTATCACCATTTCATCATATCTTCATTCCCAATTTCTTCCATCCTGATACTGAAAACACCCCCAGGTCTATTATTGGCAAAGTAACATCTTGTCTACAAAGGCTTTTTCCACGAATCAAGGTCCACGAAGCAGTCCCAGTAGCCTGTATTTGTGTGACTTTTTTTTTTTTTTTTTAATTTTAAGCCTTTTAGCCTTGCGTTGTAAATGTTCCACTAAGTTTCACTTAAGGATGAAACCACCAAGGCCATACAAAAAAGACCCAAGTCTATACCGCCTATGTCGTATTTTTCCCATACTCCACGGCTCAGCACCCTTTTAAGCTAGCTGGATGACACTGACTAGAAAGGCTTAAAACCTCCATTTCCTAAGACAGGCTATTAACAGGTTATTAGCAGTGTAAGTGTGCTCACTGTGCCCAGCTGAAAACTGAATTTTAAGCAACCTGCCGACACCTAGCTCAGGGACACTGGTAATTTCCCTCCCTCTTAACACGAATATCCGTTCGTCAGACACTGCTCAGCGGCGAGCCAGCTTTCTTGTTCGCGCCACCTGAAAGGCGAGGGAGGCTTCAGCATCACTGCAAGAGAGAAAGGCAGCTTCCTTGTGACGTCAAGTCAGCGGCCTCTCGCCCGGGCTTCAGGCCGGTTCCGGTTCCCTGGCTTTCCGGACGCCCGAGTGAGCGAGCGAGGAGCCGTACTGCGCGTGCTCCGCAGAGGGACGCGAGGAGGTTGGGTCCAGCTCTCCAAAGGGATGCCTGATTGGCTGGCGTTGTGCTTGGGGGTTCCCTAGCCCTTTCGGCAGGGGTAAAACAATAAGAGGGGGCGGCGGCAAAGGGGGCGGGACGTCCGTGTTCCTGTAGCTGGCTGCTGCTCCAGGCTCTGGGGAAGAGGTGGCTGTGAGGGGCCTGAGCTCGCGGCTCTTTGGATTCCGAAGCCTCGGGTTTATTTGAGGGAGGAGAATCTGCTGCGGCCGATCCCGCGACACTCCTGACCTCCGCGCGACGTGCCCGCCGCTGCTGTTGGTTGGAGGTGTGTACGGGGGCCGAGAGGGGCGGTCGGTGTGGTGGTCGGCAGGGGACATTTCCCTCCGCTCCGCGGCTCGCGGCAACGGTCCGGTGTGTGCGCTTGGCGTCCGGGGTGCTGCGGCAGAAACATTGTTCTCGCCGGCTGCCTACGCCAGCAAGTGTGCGTGCGTGCGGAGCCGAGCTTTTCCTGCAAGGTGAGCGGGAGGCTGCTTGGGGAGGACGATGACCGCGCGCGTGGTGCAGAGGAGGGCACAGGTGGGGCTGGGGATTGCTAGGAGGAGGCGGCCCGGGGGACCCTGTCCGCCTCTGCTCCCGGAGCGCGCCGACGGGCGCCAAGCCGCGAAGCTGGGAGTGGGCTTCTGCAGAGGTGGTTTCAGCTGGCTCCCCGCTCGTTTGCGGCCTTGGTTCCCGGTTGTCGCCCCGCCCGTGGGGGGAGGGGAAAGAGGCCGTGTCGGCGGAGGCAGAAGCGACGCAGATGCGAAAGTAGCGGCCTCCGGGCACCATTTCTGTGTCCGGAAACTGAATCCGGGGTTGAAGGTGGCAGCCGCTCCACTTGCCGGGTGCTCGGCGTTCCCCCTCCCGCCTCTTCTCGGATTATCCCGAACACGTTCGGATACTAGGGCTATAACGTGCGTCTCCTTCGTCCTTTTTCTGCAGGCGATCTCCTGTTAACCAGGAATAAAAAGGACGTTTCAGTGCTTTGGAAATAGGTTTTTCTCCCCCCACTATTCTTTTGGAGAGGGTTTGGGGAGAAGAACGTAAGTTTCACTAGATGTCTGGTTTTTGTTAGTGGACTCTCCGATCGAGGTTTTCCTGCTTAAGAACAGATTTTCTTCAGGTGTGCCTATGCTGCTTTGGGGCTGTAGGTAGTGTTCACAATTTTTACTCCCAAGATATAACTGGTTTTAAAACAATGCGCGCACACAAACCAACCGACCAAACAAAAACATGAGGTGCCTTTTGCCTTCTTAAAAACAAAACACGTGCACCAAAGCTGAATGAATCAAGGAAAATTGCCCCCTTCCCTCCGGGTATGATTGTCGTGCTATTTATTAACTTAAGGTTTCTGGTTTTTAGATTCTAGACATCACACCTCATTCAATCCAAGTACCCAGATCGTGTAACCATTAACTGCAGTTAAAAGGACGAACTGGAATAGATGAGGATAGTAATTTCTTGTCCCAACTCCATATTTGGCAGTTAATATAGCCCAGGCATGTGGACCAAAGTTTCTGAATAAACACTTGGCTTTGCCAAATCCAGTGTCCCCTTTATGGTCTTTAGGTTTGGGCCTGGTGTCAGGAGTCAGAGGCAGGTGGGTCCTTGAGTTCAAGCCCAGCCTGGTCTACATACTTCTGGGACAGCCAAGGCTACATAGTGAGATCCTGTCTCAAAAAAACAAAAGTTTGGTTATTTTGGACCATAGGACTGAATTACATGTTGTCCCTTTGTTACTGTTTTAGGTCATATGTTCCTGTGTCGCCATCTGATAAGCAGTGTATACAAATTATTTCGTTCTGAAAAGGCAATTGTGAGAAGGGCTTCAAAATGTGTTTTGTGATGGGTTAGGTTATTTCGTGTTCAGAACTGAGATAATGTAGTGTGTGGGCTCATGATTTTAATCTCAGCACTTGGGAGGCAGAGGCAGGCCAATCTCCCAAGTTCAAGGCCAGCCTGGTCTGCAGAGTGACTTCCAGGACAGCCGAGGCTACGCTCTGGAAACAAAACACAAACTAGAATTGAAATATTAGGGATGGTGAAAATAAGCTACCAGAGGAGCAGCTAAAGAAGTCATTTGATGAATTAATACATTGACTTTGGCCAAGAGCCTGCATTTTACGGTGAAGGCACCAGGGATACCTGGAGCATCTCAAGTACCCAGATCCAGTCACCAGTCGCCGGTAGATGGTGAGGGCAGTTTCTTGTTCAACTCAGGCCTGTGAACCTAGGGCAAATTTAATATCTAGACTACATGTTAACGTAGTGACAGAGTAGTTGCATTGTTAGGCAAGTTCTGGTTTTGAAGAAATTGCTGGCATTGTTGGTAGCAGGTGTTGTGTGGTAGCTTCCTTTGTATTAGAGATTAAAATACCAAAATTTCAGTACCTGTAACTGGAAATTTACAGATATTCAGATACTTGTAGTGTCTTTAGATTCTTGACAGTAATTTGAATAATTTTTTTATTATTACTCATTATGAATATTAGAAGTTATTTTCTAAATTGCCTAATTTTTTTCCCTACATTTTGAATGACATCCTTTCAACATTGACAGTGAAGCACAAATTGGAATGCTTCTGAACAGAAAGTGGGTGGAATTTAGCTGAACGTCTTGACCTGGTTACTACTCTTCACTGGTAGATGTGTGCCTAATTGTCCATAAAGCAAACCAATCTTTCTTTTTAAACCCTTAGGTTTAAAATGCTTAGGAAAAGAATGCTTTTTCTGTTTTGGTTTGTTTTAATCATCTCATTTCTGGATATTTTATCCTGTCTTGTTACTGTACTAACTTTGGGAATATTTACTATAATGTGTTGCTGTCCTGTTATTTTTCCCCCCCACGCAGCAGCTTAAAATACACTGGAAGTTGGGTTTATATTTTATTTTTCATCTTAGGAAAAGTTTCTTGTATTGCTCATGCTAGCCTGGCATTTACTATGTCCTCGTCTGGCCAGGAATTTTTGGTATTCTACTGCCTTTGCCTCCTTAATGCTGAGATTACAGGAACATGCCACCATGCTCAGCATGAAAAGTGAACTGTAAAGTTTAAGGGCTTATTTTATTACTTTTAATTATGTATGTGCACTTGTAAATATGTGTATAAAAGGAGTTAGATCCCCTGGAGCTGGAAGTGACGGGCAGATTGTGAGCTGCGGAATGGGTAGTGGGATTGTGCAAGGAAAGTTTGCACTCTTAACTTCTCATGGAGCCATCTCTCTAGCCTCTTTAGACCAGGCAGATCTTGTTTCCAGAGATTAGATTTGTTGCTGGAAATTTTGATCCAAGGAACCAGAGTGGTAGAGGAACCCACGGAGAGCCTCATACCCACAAAAATAATATATTCACATTATGTTGCTGCTTCCTCCCCGCCTCTTGTTTTGGAGATTGGGTTTCTCCCAGCTGTCTGGAATTCACTCTCTAGACTATGCTGGCCATGAACTCCACCTGCCTCTCCCTCCCAAGTGCTGGGATCAAAGGTGTGTGCCACCATACCATACCTAGCCCAAAGCAAATTTTCTTAAGTAATGAAAGCATCATGCTGGTGACATAAAATTCTTGTTTGGAACAAAGTAGGAGGAACCTTGATCTCCTTTAGTTCTAAGTATCAGTTTCATTTTTCTGCAAATGAAGTTAGTGCCCTCCCCATTCAGGGAGGTGAAGGAAGCAGGGCGGTCATCAAACTTGAAAGCATGATGTGAGGCTGGCATGCTTGCCCTATGCCTGTGATTCCAGAGGCCGGGCAGGCACATCTATAGATGGGAGTTTCACGACAGCCAGGGCTACACAGACAGACCTTGTCTCAGGGTAGGGGGCAGCATATCCATTTCTTTTTGTTTGTTTTTGAGACAGGGTTTCTCTGTGTAGCCTTGGCTGTCCTGGAGTCACTTTGTAGACCATCCTGGCCTCGAACTCACAGAGGTCCACCTGCCTGTGCTTTCCAGAGTGTTGGGAGTCACAGGTGTGGGCCATCACGCCCTGCTTTTTACGGTTGCTTTATCCATAACCTCCCTTGTATCTTTGAACTGGTTCTTGGATCCAAGGGCACCACAACAAATCTTTGTTCCTATTCTAAAACTGTGTGGATAGTATTGTAGTCATTGAAGACCATCAGTAGCTTTGATAGTTACAGAGTTAAAATGGAGCTGGCATTTTAAAGTAGAATCTAGTCTTTTTGGGTCATCGAGGATAGGCCTGGGCCTAAGTGTGAGCCCTGCAGAGGGAGTGGGAGCAAGCAGCCTGTGTGGAGGTAAGCTGAGGCTGAGCAAGGGTAGTCTTTGATAGCAGTGTCTTTTTAGAGGCTACAGCCTTCTGTTGGGGACATTCTTTCCATGAGTACAGTATGATATGTATAAGCGTCCTAGGCTGATAGTTTATTTTTCTGCATTTCCCCCTCCTTAACTAGGTATTTTGTTTTCTTGATCTTCTCTTCCAATAAGAAAGTATGATTTCTTTTCCACAAGTGCTTAGTTTTCCTATTCTCTCCAGGCATTGAAATAACCACCAAAGAATGACATAAAATTTCACTCAGCTAATTGCAGTGAGTGAAGTTTTTGTGTTTTGATGCTGTACCGAGGCTAGCGCTCAGTTGGTGGAGTCGAACTGTACTTAAAGCTCCCCAGCTCCCATAGACTTCATGGACTGGTGCTGCACTCTAGTCTACCATTCAGGCAGTGAAGGCTGGAGGGTCAGAACTTTAAGGTCATTCTAGGCTACATGACATCCCATGTCAAAAAAAGAAAAACAACAAAGGTCCCTTTTTTTGAAAATGTTTGGGGCTACAAGTTGAAGTTGGAGGATTTTTAGATTTTTGAACTATGCATAGTATTGAACATCTCCAGTCCGAAAGCTGGAATGTTCTGAAATTTGAAACAGTTGCATTGGGAGTTACGGCAAGATATTTGTAGATAAAATTTGATTTTTTTGAAGGGCCATTTTATCACTAACAATGCACGATCCTTAGTAAGGCCTTGGGGAGAGGACTTTAAGATACTCTCCGAAATTAATAAAATTATTTTGCTTTGGATAACCCTGTCTTTTCTATTGTAATCTGCTCTTGTTTATTCTTTTGACTATTGTATACATTGCTTTCTTTTTTTGTTGTTGTTTTCCAGACAGGGTTTCTCTGTGTAGCTTTGGCTGTCCTGTACTCACTTTGTAGAACAGGCTCACAGAGATCCACCTGCCTCTCCTTATCTGGGTGCTGAGATTACAGGTGTCCGCCACCGGGCCCTGCTTACATTGCTTTCTTATAATGAAACCATAATTGAATTGAATTTTTAAAAAAGATTTATTTATTAGTATACAGTATTCTGTCTACACACAAGAAGAGGAGGGCATCAGAGTTCATTATAGATGGTTATGAGCCATCATAATGTTGCTGGGAATTGAACTCAGGACCTGTGGAAGAACAGCCAGCACTCTTAAGCTCTGAGCCATCTTTCCAGTCATAATTTTAAATTTTATTCTGGTCTTTTCAAGTTCTTGTTTTATGGCTCTGTAGCCTTTGGCAGTATTAGGGACTTGCATTTGAATCATCACCAGTTTCATGGTTTGTCCTTTGAAGACAGTGAAGTTTGGGTTGCTCATTAGGATCTGTAGCACAAGCTTTTCTCTCTTAGTGTTGAACTGGGACGCAAACCTAGAACCTTGGGTCAGCTGTGGAAAGCACTTTCTTCCTGAGCTACAGCTCCTGGTCCCAAAGCCTTTCTCTTTGTGTATGTGTATGGGTGTTTTCACTGGCATGTGTGTCTGTGGACCACATTCATTCCTGGAGCCTGCAGAGGCCAGAAGATGGCTTCAGATCTGCTGGAACTGGAGTTGTATGTGATTGTGAGCTGCCATGGGGATGCTGGGATCGTTAGCCAGGCTTTGGAAGAGCAGCCAGTGAAGTTCTTAAGCACCAAGCCGTTTCTCCAGACTCAGTGTTGTTACTTTTTCCCGCCGTAGCTGACCATTCCAGCGTGTTTCTCCTGCCTTTGTTCCCCATCTCAGCTTCCTCAGTCCACCTTTACTGAGTACTATTTTAGACTTTAGCTGTTAAGTATTACTGTATCTATCAGAAATATTACTAATGTATGTTCGTGCTTTGTTCCAGTGTCTGTATACCTATGCATACTTCATAGCTATACTGAAAGTGGGTAGTTTTTAGCTTAGTGATGTTATGCATGGCATGGTGCTTTTACCTAATCTCAGCCTTCAGGAATCCTGGGTAGAAGGACTGCTGTGAATTCAAGGCCAGTCTTGATTAAAGTGAGTCTCTGTTGCAAAAAACCAGTAATGTTGACTACATTTTCATTTCCCTCAATGATGTCGTTGGAGTCCAGGACCTCTCACTAGGCAAGTTAGCTAAAATCCTTGGATTACTTTTGATCTTTATTCTAAAACCATATTTTCTTTTTAGCTCTTTTTTTTTTTTTTTTTTTTTTTTTAAGACACATCTCATTATGTAGATCAGGCTGCCCCGAATGAAGAGTGCTGGTATTAGAGGTGTGTGCCACCACACTAGTCAGTCTACCTTTGTTTACGTTTGTGTATGGGTGTTTTGCTTGCATGTCTGTGTACCACATGTGGATGCCTGGTGCCTTGGATCCCCTGAGACTGGAGCTGCCAGGTGGGTGCTGGGAATCAAATCCAGGTATGCTGGAAAAGCAGCCAGTGCTGTTAACTGTTGAGCCATCTCGCCAGCCCCTAGAACCATATTTTCTAATCAGTAACTTACCTGCTGACTGGTTTTCGGAAAGGGATGAAAACTGTAAAACAGTTGTAAGAATTTTACAACACCTCTGGCATTTAGATGGTGTAGTAAAGCTATAGGCTGTAGATTTCGAACTCATCTTTAGAGAGAATATAACACAAAAAAATTGGATGGTGGGTCTGTGGTGGCAGTGATAGAGATGGAAGCAGCTTTCCAACTATATGTGACTTTGATTTCTAGTTTCTGCTCTCTCCATGCTTCAATTATTTTCTAGTCTCCCATTAAATTTTATAACATAATTTCGATAACAAAACATACAGGGCTTCAGAGAGATGGCTCAGAAGTTAGAGACATTTCGGGTTTAATTCCCAGCATCCACATGATGGCTCACAACTTTACGTAACCCCAAATCAAGGGATCCCATGTCCTATTCTGATTCCATAGGTACCAGGCATGCATATGGTATGCAGACAGACATTCAAACAAAACACTCACATAAATAAACCTACAAAAAGAAATACAGGGTGAACTCATCATGATTCTTCTGCCTCAGACTCCCAAGTGCTTTGTTTTGAGGCTTGAGCCACTAAACTTGGCTCACATACTCATTTCTGTACTATAGCTTTTTGTTTATTTTTTTGTTTTTTGAGACAGGGTTTCTCTGTGTAGCATTGGCTGTCCTGGATTCACTTTGTAGACCAGACTAGCCTTGAACCCACAGAGATCCCTCATGCCTTTCCCTCTCAGAGTGCTGGAATTACAGGCATGCACCACCACTCCCGGCTTCCTATGGCTCTTTTTTTTTTTTTTTTTTTTTAAAGCAAAGATTCTTAGATAGCATTGTCCACAATTGTAATTCTTGTGAAGGTGGATATTCTTTCTTTCTTTTAATTAATTAATTTTTATTTTGTGTACATGGGTGTTTAGGGTGTTTAGCTTGCATGTATGTCTGTGTGAGGATGTCAGATCTTGGAGTTACAATTGTGAACTATCATGTGGGTACTGGTAATTGCACCCGTGTCCTCTAGAAGAACAACAGTCAGTGCTCTTAACCACTGAGCCATTTCTTCAGCCCCGGATATTCTTTTCTACACTAGTACTTTTTATTTTTCATATTTTTGAGTGCATATCATAACACTCAGTAACAAGACAGCCTAACATTTGATAAGTTCCAGGCCAATGAGGGATGCTGTGCTGTCTTTTTTAAAAAGTGGACAGTGCCTGGAGAATGGCACCTGAGTTTGTCTGGGGTCATGTACTCACACATGCGCATGTAAGAAAGTGCTCTTTAACTTAGCTGAAACTGCATTGCTTGGCTCGGCTGCTCTGTAGATAGTTTGTATTTTGTTCTGTTGTGCTTTGTCTGACAGTGTGGGGATGGAACTTGGGGCCAGCCTTGCACTTCGCTTGCCACTGACCTATACCTCCAGTCAGCTTGTAACTTCAGTGTGGCACACAAGTCTTTCTGCTTAGGATCATCAACCTCTTAAAGTGTGTTTGAGGAAAACTGGTGGCACCTGGAATTTGCTGTCTGCATCTGTTTCAGTAGGTATTTGTGAAAGCAAGTGTGACACCATATAAAATTTTAAGTAGATTGGGTCAACCGAAAGTGGAGGAGGACAGTTGCAGAGTAGAACAAAGTAGAACATTGAAGTCATTAGAACAACAGCACTTAACCAATGTGCTCCACCATAGAACCTACCTACCTGACAGTTATGAAAAGTATCACATTGTGTTAGATCGTGGATGTCTTTGGCAGTAACCTTATCTAGTTGATTAAAGAAAACCTGCACTGAAATTTGTTAAAACAGGAATTCAGATAGCATTTTGATTTGCCTGATAGGCACGAAGATGTGTGGTTGGTTTTTGTTTTGTGTCTCTCCCCTCCCCCTACTGGTACTTTTAAGTAAAGGGGTTGGAGAGGTGACTTATCAGTTAAAGAGTGCTTTCTCCTTTTCAGAGGCCCCTTGCTACTCAGGATCACAGCCACCTGTAATCCACGCTCCAAGGTTTGAATCAGACACCCTCTTGTGGTCTCTGTGTGTACTAACATGTACATAATAAAAATAAAGTCCCTTTGGGGGTGTGTGTGTGTTTTGTTTGTTGCTCTACACACCTTTTTGTACATAAGATTGAACCCAGGGAAATTTTTTTGGAGCAGCTGTTCTATGCCACAAGTTAGCTACTATCAGTCATAGCACTACCTTTTTTTTTTTTTTTTTTTTTTTTTTTTTGTTTAAACCAAGTAGTGTTGAGGACTTTCTTCATTGTGTGTGCATAGAAGTGGAGGTCAGAAGTCAGTTTTCTCCACTGTGTTGGTTCTGGGGAATCAAGCTTAGGTCAGGCCTTTACCTCCTGAGCCCTCTCATGGCCCTCTCCCCTCCTCTTCCTTTTTTCATGTATATTTTTATGTATACTGTATACCTGCTTGTATGTATGTGTACCATGTGTTTGCTTGGTGCCTACACAGGTCAAAATAGGGTGTCTGGTGTCCTGGAACATGGTTGTAAACCACTTTGTGGGTTCTGGGAACTCAATCTGGGTCTTCCACAAGAACAAGAGTTTTTAGCTGCTGAACCATCTTTCCAAGATGTATTTTTAATCATGTGTATTTATGTATTGGCCTGTGGGTATATGCATGGGTAACTTTGGGGCTAGAGGTTCAGATTCCTTGGAACTGGAGTGATAGGCAGTCATGACCCATGTCTATAGCCTGTTGCGCCTTATTCTTCATGTTGGTTATAGTTACACTGTTCTGAGGACTAAATGTATAAAGTAAATAATAAGCTGCATTAATAAATCTTTCCTTTTTATTTATTTAATGCATATGGGTGTTTTGGCTGCATGTGTATCTGTTCACTGTCTTGTGTTCTGGTGCCCATGGAGGTCAGAAGAGGCAGGCAGATGCCCTGGAATTGGAGTTATATGTTATGTGCCTTGATGTGGATGCTGGGAACTGAACCTGGGTCCTCTGTTAGAACAGGCAATGCTCTTAACTGCTGAACCATCTCTCTAGCCCAGAAATTTATTTTCCTACTGCTAATAAATTTTTAATAAATGGTGTTAGTTTACTTTATTCTTGTTTATGTAAGATTTATTTCATGGTATTTTACAAAAATGACTTAATAGCTGTTTTTCTTGTGTTTTCTTCTCCAGCATTTGACATTGTGCAGCAAAGAAATGGTTATGGAGAAGCCCAGTCCGCTGCTTGTGGGGCGGGAGTTTGTGAGGCAATATTATACTTTGCTGAATAAAGCTCCTGAATATTTACACAGGTAAAATCTGGACATTACTTCATATTCTCTGGGTATGGCACATATTGTTGTCTCTTCTGTCTATAAGTTGATAGTATCTTTGTGAACAGAAAAAACGTGATATCTTAGTACCGTACCACAGGTACTGTTAGCATATAGGCAGCCTGCTTCTGGGTTGTCTAGTAACCTATGATGGCATCATGTGTCACCCAGCAGGAGTGTGACAGACATGGCTCAGCTGCACATGCAGAAGCTATAAAAGGACCAACCCGCTGCTTTGTCTCTCTTACATCCCTCTCTTGCTCTCTCTGCCTTGCTTTCTTTCCTGGTTACCCCTGCCATGTCTCTCTCCTTTCCTTTTCCTCTCTATCTCTCTACTTCCATCTACTAAATCTCTTTCATGTAATATTTGTTGTGTCTGTGACATCATTTTTAAGTAAATACGAAGTTACACATACACAGTATTCCTTAGTATTTCATGTTTCGCTGTACTAGTGTTGGGCTTGACTCATCACAAGATTCCAGTGAGCAATTAGATTAAACTAACCTTTTTAATTCTCATAGTGTCGAGAAACAGTACTACACTATTACTAAAGGATTTGAATTTCTCCTCATCTGAAAAGCAGTATTTCTTGTTGAGACTCTATTAGTATCTTGTTCACCATTTGGCAAGAGTTGAACATCTGTAAGCTTAAGCTTCCAGGGGTTAGAATGAAATGTGTGTAGCAGATACTTCTTGGTAAGTCCTGCTCTTCTGGGAAAAGTACTTGTGCAAGTGGAGGGCGAGTGAGACTCTTGAAAGGCACAGTCTTTCACGTTGTTGTCCATCATTGTCATGTTCTACGTTGTTGTCCGTCATTGTCACTTCATTTGGAAAGGCCATTATTGACTCTTCTAGGTCTTTGGTAAACACTGTGAAAGTAGATTTTGCAGTTTATGCTGTTGGGCATGTGTTATTATTGGCTCTTCTGCAAAATTTGGTGGGGTTTTGTATTTAGTGTTTGGTGAGTTCCCTTTCTGTGAATACCTTTTTTTTTTTTTTTTTTCATGTAAACTTTATGCTGGTCTTAGTGTAGGCACCGTTGTTATCTCATTTTTCATATTGTCAGCTGACAACCATCTGTGTAGTCCTGGCTGTCCTATAACTCACTCTGTAGATCAGGCTGTCCTCAAATTCAGATCATGAACTGTCTCCTGAGTGCTGGGATTAAAGGCATTCACCACCACAATAAGGTATTCAACTAGTACTATAATTGTATTATTAACAGTATAACTTTCAGGCTAGCAACATGGTATAGTGGGTAAAGAAATTTGCCAGGAAAGATTGAGTTCTCTCTCTGGAACAGACATGAAGGTGGAAGGAGACTCCACAAGCATGGTAAAGCTTCCACTAAAAGGTTGGAAGATGAGTCAGCAGTGAATAGGGCTTGCTTGTCTTGGAGAGACTTGAGGGTTTTTTTTTGTGTGTGTGTGTGTGTGCGTATGTGTGTGGGCGTGTGCGCGCCCACACACATTGGTGTGAAGGTGTCAGATCCCTTGGAATTGGTGTTACAGTGAGCTGCCATGTGGGTGCTGGGAATTGAACCCAGGTCCTTTGGAAGAACAGACAGTGCTCCTAACAACTGGGCCATCTCTCCAGCCGGAGGCTTGACTTTGATTCCGTGTCCACATTTCCGCGCTGATATTCGCGTTTATGAAGGTGGATTTTTAAGAGTGTGTGTTTGTAGCATGTGCATAGGCATGTTTGTAGGTGTCTGAGGAGGCTAAAGCAATCAGATCCCCCTGGAGCTAGAGTGATGGGACAGGTGGTGTGAGCTGCCTGGTGTGGGTTGTTAAACTTTTGTGCCTCAGTTTGCCCGTGAAACAGTAGCACTATTTAGTATACGAAGTTGTTGGGATTAAAAGAGTTTGTATATGTCACTGAAATTATGCTTGGGGCAGGAAGTTGGGACATGTTTGACTGCTAAGCAGATTCCCTTCATGTTAATTCTGCTTGCTCTGTAATGCTGGAGAAGATCTGATTTTATCATGTGCTAATAACATAAATCAGAAATGGGATGCTGAGATGATTATGAACTCTCACTTGGTCTTTGAATTAATTTCAGTTTGAAATACGTAAGCTGTTTAATTGGAATTAGTAGCCACTTGGAGGTCATTGAGTAGAGTATTAAATAGGATGTCTGATTGTCAGACAAATCTGGACAACTGAATCTTTTTATCAGAAGAAAAAAGATCAGTGAGTTACTAGAGTACTAACTGTACTTAGGATGCACTTTGACTCATTCATTTTTTTTTTTTTTTAAAGGTGTGATAAGAATGACGTGAACTTTAGGCCAATGAGCATCTGCCTTGTTACAAAGATATACTAAGGCTTCTATGGGCATTGACTCATTTCATCTTTATAGCAACTCCCTGAGGAGTAATCAGATTCCTGCTTACTAAGGACCCTCTCTCTCTATCACCAGAATTCTAGTGGCTCCTCAGCTTTCCTGGCCATGACAGTGGTGATTTTAATTGTCAATACTTTTCCAGGTTTTATGGCAGGAATTCCTCCTATGTCCATGGTGGAGTGGATGCCAGTGGAAAGCCCCAGGAAGCAGTGTATGGCCAAAATGTAAGTCATAAATGATCTATTTTCACATGTGTTTGAATTAAGATAAACTTTAAAAAGTAGCCCTTTTGGACTCGGTGGGTGTCTTTAGTGTGATCTTTTGCTGTGAGTTTTAGTATAAACATGTTGGGCTGTATTTAAAAGGAGAACATAGGGAAAAAAATTACACACAAGTAGTTGAAAGTATTTTGCATATTAAGGAAATGTACAAAATAATCATCTTTATGATTGATGGGAAAAGAGGTCGTTTGAGGATTTAGGGCTTCAGGTGGACTCCAGAATTGGGGTTTAGCAAACAGGAAGAAATTATATATAGAAAATAGCATCAGCAAACACCATAGTAAAGTAAAATTGGGTATAATGTCAAAAGGCAGTTGTAATGGTTTATGAGAATGACTAGCTGGTACAGAAATGAAGGGGAAAGCCATATAATTCCTAGACTACCACACAGTTTCAACCCACATTCTGATTTCTTATATAGAGGTGATGGTAGTCTGATTGTTAGTACATAGTTTCTGGACTGGATCCAAATTAATGCAAAAAAATGGAAGTAGTTGACCTTTTTAAGGTTGTGAGGAAATAAGCAATGTATATCTACTAATGTGTAGTTAATGTGATAGCATAAATTTTTATTTTCTTCACCCTTTTCTTATGTAAAGGATATACACCACAAAGTGTTATCTCTGAACTTCAGTGAATGTCATACCAAAATTCGTCATGTGGATGCTCACGCAACTTTAAGTGATGGCGTAGTTGTCCAGGTTATGGGATTGCTGTCTAACAGTGGACAGCCTGAGAGGAAGTTTATGCAAACCTTTGTTCTGGCTCCAGAAGTAAGTGCCACATGTAGTTTGAATTTTGTGACTATCTGGTAATAGTTTTTCGAAATGCTTCCTACAGATTTGAATTTACTTGTTGCTATTTTTTAAATTAATTGATATTTTGAATTTTACTCACTTTTATGGATGTTTTGGCTTTATGTCTTGTACCACATGCACAGCTGGTGTCCTTGGAGATCAGAAGAGGGCATTGGATGCCCTGGAATTGATGTTGGAGACAGTTGCCACTAGGGGCTCAGAATCAAACCCTGGTCCTTTAGAAGAACAGCTGGCACCCTTAATCCATGAACAATCTCTCTAGCCCTTTTAATTTTCTTTCTTTCTTTCTTTCTTTCTTTCTTTCTTTCTTTCTTTCTTT